GCTATTGAAGCATCCTGGTCTTCCATAATACCTCAGCAGTGCCATAGGCTGATAGCTTCCATGCCACACCGCATTGAGGCAGTAATTGCTACAAAAGGGGCCCAAACCAAGTACTGAGTACATATGCATGCTTACACTTTTCAGAGGTCCGATATTGTTCTATGTACAATCCTTGTTTTATTGATTGCATGTAATATTCTAATTTTCTGAGATTGTGGATTTGGGGTTTTCATGAGCTGTAAGCCATAATCATCACAATTATGACAAATCACGGCATGAACTATTTTGCTTTGCATGTAATGAGTCTATCTCATATATTAGTTTCACCTTTTAAGTTGCATTAGTGAAATAAATGAACTTTTGCACGATATTCTAATTTCACCTGTATATGAAAAGGTTCTATTTAACTACCAAACGTGTTAATATGCACTACATCTTTTATCTTATCTCATTATTATCTAGTTTGCTATTTTGGAAAGGAAAAGTAACGGTGGGAAAAAAATAAACAATTCTGGGTTAACCTATCATTTTTGCCATGTAAATTTGTAATGGTTAATTTAAAGGGGGTTGTGGCAGGAGTATGCCTATTGCCTAAATGCATTGTGCTGGAAGGTGTCCCTCTTTCTCATCTCAGAAAGTTGGTAAGTATGATTAGAATCTTTATCTTGTTAGCAATTGGCATCAAGAGGATTTGGGGCGTTGTGATATCTGTCTGGCACTCATGGTGAGGCTTGTTATTGGTTTTTTTTTCAATGGTTCACAATATACCTGTGACTGACATAGGTTCTTTTTGACTGACTATTGTTATTTTAGTGATTGCATTTCTAGAATTTCACTAAAGCTGTGTCTTTGCCCTTTTCAATTTAATGAATTTCTGTGTCATGTTTGGGCAAGGCTATATTTGTACATTGGTGAATTGTTTTCTTTCCTGTGTTTGGACTAAAATGTAAAAAAGCCTAATTGAAAATCTTCAGCATATCATCTGCTGTTCTCTGCTATCAGATCAGAGACCGGCAAGCTGATGCAGTATAAAAGTGTGTGTTTGTGTTTTTGGATGTTTGATGGTTTCCTGATAGTCAAGTGCCAATGAGCGGTCAATTAGCCACCTTCTACTGTTAAACAAAATCAAGCCTACTTTATGAAAAGGTTTTTTTTTAAAATCCTTTTGGATCATAATCCTTTGAATCAACAGCATTTTGGCTATATGGTCTTGCAGGTGCATGTGCATGTAGGCAGTAATGCTATATGCCAAGAATATAAAATGATAATACAACAGCTCAAGTGTAGGAATTGGAATGTGCTTCTCAAACATTAAAATGAGAAGGGGAATTACTACAAAAGCTTTCTTTCTCAGATGTGTATGAACAGTGACTTCAAAGCAAAGTGTCAGGGGGACTCGCCCCATGGTGCAGTGGGAAAGTATTACTGTTACTATGAACAGCCGGTGACAAGATATAAAAATATCACAGGGTTACTATAATAAATACATTACCAAAACATCCAGAGGTAGGGTATTTCTATAGACATTGGAGTCAAAGATTTAGGTTCATATTATTACATTGGTGCAAGTAGTAAAGAAATAAAGTGACTTGCGTATTTTTAAGTGCAAAAGCCAAAGTCACAAATGTTTGTAAATGTTAAGAGCATAAAAATCATCATTGTTAGCACCAAGGAGAATCAGCAACTTCCACTTGGCTCACTCACTAACTCTTAGGTTAACATTTCAATATGATTAAATTACCTTATGAAATACCTCCATCTACACCGGATGTTTCTGCCATAAGCTGGTAGAAAAATACAACGTAAAAAAATGCATGTTTTCTTTCATAATTACATTTATGCATGTTCATGCATGTATAGAGTTTAGAAACATATGCATGAAAACTCATTTTATTGGCTAGAATATTCATTCCCACTGTTGTCACCACCAGGAAACCCACCATGAGGAAGGATGTGCAGCAGCTGCTGAATGAAGTGCATGCAGATAGGAAGTGGTTGGAGGAGATTAGCTTTGGCAATTGGTCTAGTCTTTGCAGAAAAGGCAAAGCTTCTTAATGCTGCACTTTTGGTATAGTTCGTGACATTTCTCATGTGCTGAGAGCCATGAGCTTATTATGAATTCACTCTCATTTGCTTACTTTTACACATGTGTGCATGTGCAAATAAATTTATGTCAGTAAGCTACTCTCGGAACACAGGTTTGGGGCATTTTTTATGAACACTACTCTAAAATACAGATTCAAACACCACAATGTGCATGGACACATTGTCTAAAATAAATCTGAGTTTAGAAGCATAAGGAAAAAAAAAAAGCCTTTAACAGCGGTATTTTGTCTGCCAATGTGTATGATGCCATCTGGATAAATTTGGATAAAGTGTTAGAATATGTGTTTCAACAAATAACTATTGCAATAAACTTGTTATCTGATAGAGGTTTATGTTATTGAGGATTTATTATATTGAAACATTATGATTTGGTCAGTACTGTTTTCTTTTTTTTTTTATTAAAAAAATGTATATGGATATTGTAAGCTTGTAAATAGTGATACACAAATATCTATATTCAATAGTTATTCAGATGGTGTGTTTCACAATCCACAGGCTATTGATTAGTATTATTAGTCTGGTCCATTTAGTGAACCAATTCACTAATACTTCAAAATTTAAAGGAAACTCTACTTTCATTAAACAAAATGACTATAGCATTAAAATTGCAGCATAAGCCATTTAGTAATTTAATGTTATTAAAAATGACTTTTCCGTTTCATATCTCTTGAGACTATTAGTATGCCCGTGGGTCAAAATACACATTGAGGGCTTTATTAAATACTCCAAACAACAATTTTTAGAGCATCGTAAATAAAGAGGAACTCCAGGAATTGTAAAAATTAACCCTTGTTAACCCCTCACTGCAAGGGTTAACTGCTCATTTCGGTCTAGTGGCTAAAATAAAGAAGATATACTAACCTTATCCTCATTCAGAGTTAAAGGAGAATTATGAAGTGAGTGCTTTTTACTCACCTCATAGTTCTAGCCGACCTGTGACAATGAGACTGTCACAGGTCGGCTCAGTAGATCGGGAGGTGAGCGAACACATATCGGCATTCGCTCACCTCTCAATCCTGTCACGGCTCTCTGCCGTGACAGGGGGAGGGGCTGGATTCCCCGCTCCGATCCACCAGCGCTGACTGGCGGAATGGATGGGGGAGGGGTTGGTACAGCTGGCTCTGGCTCTAGATAGGCAGAGCCAGCTGTCAGTCACGCAGCTGGGCCGATCCCGGCACAATTGTCGGAATCCGCTTCAGCTGCGGCGTCTCAGTATACCGCGAGCAGCAGCTTGCGGTATACTGCGGTGTCTCAGTATACTACGAGCTACAGCTCGTGGTATACTGAGCCTAGGGTGATGGGAGGACGCTACTTTGTGCCCTCCCATTACCCCAAGGAGAACTATGGGGAAAAGCCTTAACCCCATAGTTCTCCTTTAAGGATAACATGATATTTTAGTCATCAGGTTTACATTGACTTTAAATCTCACATGTCAAGACACAATTATTTAAGGCAATTTGCAAATCACTAAAATATTGCAATTTATGATCAAATGAATAATTATTTGTGTAGCTTAACCAATATGTTTCTTTGAACTAATTTACATAAATGTTAAATGTAACTGGCATCTCTACAGCTCACAGTATACTGAGCCTAGGGTGACGGGAGAACGCTAGTTTGTGTTTCCCGTGTTTCCATTGAAGTCTATGGGGCAAAAACACGCTTTTAACTGCCCAAAGAAGCTCATGTACCTTTTCGGGCATCTGGAGTTTTTCTGCTGGCGTTTTCCTGCTCAGGTGTGAACAGGGGCCATTGAAAATCGCCTAGGTGTGAACCAGGCCTAAACTGATGAACTGTAAAGGCTTTTAACCAGTTGCCATCCGCCCATTGAAAAAAAATGGATGGACAGCACTGCTGCATTAGCGGGTTGCCGTCTCCAGATGTGCACGGGCAGAAAAAAACTGTGTAATGCATAGAGCCGTTAGCGGCTGTTTAACATATACCTGATCGGCGGTTCTATAGCCAGCCGATCGGGTATGGAGATCAGCTCCTTGCTGATCTCCCTCCGGGCTGTGAATGCGGAATTGATGTGTATTACATCACTTCCGCATTCACCTGTAAGTCATCAGGCTGCTATAGCCAGAGAAAAGAAGCTGATGAAGCAGATCTCTTTTTTTTTATTATTTCGGTAACTTTTCCTTAATGTAGTAAAAAATAAAAACAGCAGCGGTGATTAAATACGACCAAAATAAGGCTCTATCTGTCCCCCAAAAAAATGGTATAAAATGTATTTCAGTACAGCGTTGCATGACTGAATAAATGTCAGTCAAAGTACTGCAGCGCTGAATACTGAAAAATAGCCTGATTGGGAAGCGGGTTTAACACCGCGGACTTCTAGTGGTTAAAACACTAGCTATTGACAATTTTGGGTGCCAAATTTTGTTGCCATTTCATGGGTGCATGCAATTGTAAAGCTTAATATGTTTGGTTTCTACCTCATTGACGCAACCTCTTCATTAATATTTTACCAATAAATTCAGTGTTTGTGTGCACTATAATTAACTTAAGGGTATTTTTTACTGAACATTTGGGTTTGATAAACAGCACTAATATCATATGGCATTAAAAAATTGCAATGACCACCATATTATTCTTCTGGGTCTCTGCTTTCAATGTTATAATAAGCATTGTAACATACATGTACAAAAAAAACAGAAGCAAAAACGGCTCTGGCAACAAAAGAGTTAAATTTACAAGAATTACAAAGTGTTATATTATCTTATGTTTCACAGAAGCATTCATGCAACCAGAAATAATCTTTGCAGCTGAGACCTCTTGGGCCCACTTGTTGTACGGCTCATCATTAAAAGTCATACCACAATTTAATAAGGTTTATGGTTAATTGTGAGCAGTCTTTATTCCAGCAATAACAGAGTCACAATAACATTACTTACTATGCTGGCAGTGGATTCCATTAAACCCACGGGGACATTTGCAGGCATATCCAATAAACGTATCACCACGATATGCTTCACTGATTTCACATATTCCTCCATTATGACAGGGGTTTGGATGGCATAGATCTGAAATGCAAAACAAACAGATGGCAACACAAATCAATATACATAAGTGAATAATTACAACACAAGAAAAAAAAATCCATTAGATCCAAGTTCTGTAAGTCACTAAGAAATGTGTTACTTATTAGGCCTCATTTATCAAAATGATTGCAATGACAACTGTCCGTTTTGGCCATGATAAGGTTGCCATGGTGGAGGGGCTTTTGTTCCAGTTGAATTGCATTCTGTGCATTGGGTAATTACATTGAACTGGGTGGACCTGTGTCTTTTTCAACTTATGTAAGTATCAAAGCAAGCAGAATACACTCATGCATCATAATTGGGTATTGGTCACCAGTTCATAAGAAAGATGTTCTCGATTGGGAAAGAGTACAGCGAAGGACAACAAAACTAATAAGGAGGCTAGAGGAGCTCAGCTATGAGGACCAATTACAAAAATGACACTTATTCAATCTGGAGAAGAGGTGCTTAGGAGGGGATATGAGTACAATGTACAAATTCATCAAAGGTAAATGTAGTAATGGTAATAAACTGCTTAGTGTAAGGTCTCTGAAGAAGACACACAGCCACAATTTGAGATTAGATGAAAAGAGGTTTAACCTTAAACTACGGAAGAGCAGTGAAAACATGAAGCCCCCTTTCCAGGTAGTGGTATCAGCTGAGAGTGTTGATAAAAAAAACTCACAGATGTCTTCCACAGTGAACACAATATACAATGGTAAGGACATTTTTAACAACTCAAACACACACACACACACACACACACACACACACACACACACACACACACACACCAACACACACAATTAAACACACACACACACACACACACACACACACACACACACACACACACACACACACACACACACAAATAGGTTGAACTGGTTGGACCTGTGTCTTTTTTCATCCTTATATATAACTAGTATGTAAATATATAACTAGTTTTTGGTCCACCACATATAGAAGCTGGGATTGGTCAGAGACAGCAATAATTTGCCCCCACAGGTCCAGAACTTTTTGCACTGCTTTTATTGGCAAAAACAGCATCTCAAACAAAAAGCACAAGCAGGTAAAAAAAATTTTTTCATCTTGCAGATATGACTAAACTTTGCCTAGCATTCTGTTTAACCACTTGTAGACCGGGGTATTAAACCCCCTTCCTATCCAGACCATTTTTCAGTATTCTGCACTGCGGTACTTTGATGTAATATACATCACTTCCTGCATTCTGATACCGGAGAGGAGATCGGGGGGAGATCGTGTGCTGAGCTCCCTCTGATCCTCTATCACAGAGACGCTGTGCTGGTCCCGGGCTTGCACCGGGAACAGCAGAGCTCAGGACAAGCTGAGGGGAGGGGGGGGTGCGGAGGGGATGCACCGATCAGTGCCTTATACAAGCAATCCAGCGGCTCTATAGCAGCCGGATGGCTTGTATGTAAACAGGCATCGTTGCCTGTTTAAAAATTTTGACAGTTTCCAGTCCATGCGCACATGAGTGGGCGTGGCTAACAGGCTGTCTTTAGACAGCCTGTTACATCGAAGAAGCTCCTGGCCGACCTTTTAATTACAACGACTGGCTGGGAAACGGTTAAATACTTTTGAGCTTCTGGTACAAACCTTCTATTTTTTAATGTTCCATAAGCCATATACATGCCTAAAGTGAATTATGGTAGCAAAATCTAAATGTACGTATAGTTAGATAATATGGCAGACTGAATGGACTACAACATAATATGTGTTATTATCTAGCTGTAGTATAGCACCTCCATGCAGAATGTATTGTCATCATAAGGTGAGCTAATTACTGGTTTATGGAGCTTCAACAGCCTTTGTGCTATAATCAGCGGAGTTCTTGCTACCACCCAGCTCTTATAGAGCTGCTGTATTTAGCACAGCATAAGTACTGTAGCTCAACCAAAGGGAACGAGCATCTAATGCAGTCCTTAGCTAACATTTATCTTTTCATTTTTAGGAAAAGTTCCTAATCCTGCAAAATCACAGTAGGATTGAACATTGCTAAAATGCCAAAAGCAATTCTAGATTCCAATTATGCCTTCCTGGACAATTGGATCAGAGATTAAATAGATCATCTTAAGGTCAGAAAAATGTATTTCTATATTGAATTTCCAGTTCTATCCCACTCCTAATAGTAAAAACCATATTGATTTAAAAGTTGGTGAACTTATTGAAGATGCCCATAGGATGTACTTCCTCAACGCACTGACACAATTTCACTCAGCCCTGGGAATGTCCAATTCTTTGTGTCACAGAGCCTGCCTTCAGAACTACAACTCAACATCTGAACAATGTAACATTACTATTGCTTGCTGGAAGCAATGCATTATGGGCTATGTAGTCTCAAGAAATTGAGATTGCATCACATGAAGCAGCAGGGGAAAAAGATGCAAAGCACACTGATGAAAGTGATGGGCAGACAAGAGGCAGCACACACTACATAAAAGGGATTTTTTCCTGTAAGTATGATCAAAAACAACTCTAGTGTGTATTCCTATTACAAAGCTGATGTTATAATAAGATAGTATATGCTGGAACTTTACAACTCCCTTATTTGCAATAAGCACTTCAAGGTGGTGCTTACTAATGAAAATGCCTTAAAATGCAAGGTGATAAACGTTGATTAATTTGACAGTACATATTTTAATATAGAAATATATTTTTAATAAAAATGACACAACCATTTACTTAATCAGGTTTCACTTGAGCGAAGCATTTCATTGGTTGCTATAGGTGATTGTTTTACTTAGTTTCACTTTTTTTTTAAATCTTCCCCTGTATGTTTAAACTACAGTAAACTCCGCATTATTCAACATTCAAGCAACTGGCACTCTAAAGCAACCGTCACAAAAAAATTGAGAACATAATATGTCCTCATTTTTTGTGGTTGCTTGATAGAAATACGCACACTAAAAAATGTTGTTCGCAACTAAATGTATTTAGTTTCAAACTAAATGCTGTGTGTACATCTTGCTGCCGGCCGGTGGCTAGATTCTGCTGTTGGCAACTGAATGTAAACAATGTGGAGCAATAGCCAGCCGGCTATTGGCTATTTCAAATTGCAATAGCATTGCCCAGTACATCTTTGTGAACTACGGAACACCTTTCCTCATGGTAAGGATATGAGGAGAGGGGGTGGTGTTCTGTGGTGTAGGGTGACAACATTGCTCCTCCAAAGATACAGTACAGTGAGTGAGTGTTGTCACCCTACGATAGGAAGTGTGCTGCTGGCAGGATTGAAAGATAAAACATAAATTAAATAATAGTATAATATTATATTATGTCTCCATGATGTCTCCATAAAGAGGACCTGTCACATCCTCTTTGCTATCACATAGGGGGCTTGTCATCCCCCCTATGTGATGGCAATACATTTAAGTTTAAAAAAATTCAAGTCACATAAAAAAATGTGAAAAACACACAAAAAATTGTAAATTCCGCCCCCACACACACACACACACACACATACAAACGCTAACATACATCCGGTGCATCTACGTGTGAAAATGATAATTGCACTGCACATGTTACATATCACTGCAATCATCGAGTGTGAGCAATAATTTTACGGCCATCAATCACTGATAACACTGCTAAATTACTGCTAAATTGATGAGCAGTAATCGCTTTTAAAGCATCCCCTATGGCCAATGTAGGGGATGGTAGTTTTTTGCGATTTTACGGGCGTACGCAACTTTAAGGCTTAACATATCTGGAATCTATTTACCCGCCATGACCTCATCTTTTATATGTTATCATAAAATGGATAATAATATGTTTCATACCATAGTGTAGGGAAAACATGTTTTTTTTTTTAAAGTTTCCAGGACTTTTTGCTTTACATTGTAAAAAATAAAAACCCCAGCGGTGATTAAATACCACCAAAAGACAGCTCTATCTGTCCCCCCAAAAATTGTATAAATGTAATTTCAGTACAGCGTTGTATGACGGAATAAATGTTAGTCAAAGTACCACAGCGCTGAATACTGAAAAATGGCCTGGACAGGAAGGGGGTTTAATCCGGTCTACAAGTGGTTAATAATAAGTAATAAGTGTGATCTATGTACTGGAAACATGCGGTGCTGACAAATATGTAAGCCTTGGGATGGTCATACACAGTGCCCCCACACAAAAAAATAACAATAAATAAATGTCCGCTGTACCCAGGAGAGAAAATATAACCTAAGTTATGGGATTCGATAAGAGCTCAGCAAAGCATTCTCTTGTTACTACACTGTACTAAGGCCGCAGCTTCAGGCCATGTAGACACAACCTTTATCTCATTAGCGCTCCCTCACCTTCATGAAAAAAATCCAATTGCTGCCTTTATTTTTAAAGCCTCTGCAGTTTTTTTTAGCATGTGTGTATCTTTGTTTTTAAAGTAGCACATTCTAGAAGCTTAGGTTTGTTTTATTTTCTCTCTGGGGTAATGATTTGCAAAGCCATGCACTCATTCATGCATACAAAATTACATGTACATTTGTTCTGTGCGAATGGAGTCCAAAACAAATGTTATTAGCATATTTTCTTTACAGATGGGCTGTAACATCAAGAAATGACCACATGTTGTTCACTAGATGGAGCTGAGGAGCATAGGAAATATGCATCTAACATCTAGTGGTGATAATGCAGTGTTTACCTGATATTACATTTGACCTTGAAAAAAAATGTGGTAACAACATTTGTTTTTGACTCTACTTGCACAGAATTGGTTTAGCACCCATTCACAAAGAGTGAAAGTGCATGCAATTTCACAGGGTTAATGGCTCTGTGAAGTGTTTATAAATACACCCCTTTGTGTCTGTGTTGGGGAGATAGCTACTGTACTGGTGACCTTATAGGAAGCAGTAATGCACATAGGCTTGGGGGAGCAAGGCCCTCCCAACCATCTTGTCTTGACTTGTATTGTAACTGTAATGTCCTCCTTATAGTGTAAAGTGCTGCACAAACTGTTGGCGCTATATAAATCCTGCATTATAATAACC